ATGTCCATATGGCGAACATCGGCGGGGAGCGGACAGTCCCGAGCCAAGTGATTGGGGTCGCCGCATCTGAAGCAGGCTCGACGAGGGGCCCCCGAGCCCTAGTACGATCCAACTCCATAGGGACGGGAGCCGGAGGTACCGGGACGGGGCGCGGGCCGCGGGTGGCGCAGGTGCGGCCACCGGGCGGATGGGGAAACGGAGTTGCCGAACGAGTGATGGGGAAGGCGCCGCGGAGCTCCCGGCGGTCCAGGGGGTAGCCGTTCCCTTAATGAGCTTCGCCGCACCAGGGCTTCATATTGTCGGAAAGCCCGAGTGCGCCAGCCTAGATAGTCACGGAGGTCTGGGGGGTCGTTCGAAGAGGTGATGCCGTTGTTGATCAAGGGGTCAAGTCCGTGGCGGTACTTGGTTACCTTAACCAACGCGTCTTGAAGCCAGCGAGGTCCATCAAGTCCTCGAAGTCGTCGGTATATCCGTAGACATCCCGCGTTCCCATGTGATAACCCGCGCTTCCAACTTAGCGAGCGCGAGGTCCTGTTCGTTCTCCTCGACGAACCGAAGGCGAAACTCGGAGAGGAACTGGCTCCACCGAGGGAAGGGGAAGGGGTTTTTGCTCCCATGACGCTCTGCCCATTGCTGAGCAGGTCCCTCCGCCATATAGGACATGGCGTAGCGGACGGCCTTTTTCTTCGCTCGGCTCTCCGTTAACTACGAAGGCCTCCGGGGCAAGCCGAGCGTAGGTTTTGACCGCGTATAGAGGAAGGCGCGGCCGCGTTTGCGATCTCCGTTAAACGCAAACGGGGGGTTTGGTCGTAAGACCAGTTTTGAGGCGACAGTAATGTCACCAAACAACGCGTCCGCGTCGGGGGCATTCGGAGATGCCGAAGGCGGTTCGGGAGCTGCCGGAGGTGGTGCGGCAGCGGAAGCCTGGGAAGCAAGGTGGGTGAGGAGATTGGTGAGGTTGTCTAGTTTCGCCTCAAGTGCGTCCATGCGCGCGTCAGCGTCCGGAGCAGCTCCGGTAGACATAGCGGGCGTAAAGACGACAAGAGCAGAGGAGGAGGGGTCAAGTGGCAGGGGCGGTGACGAGGGGGGTACGGACTCGTACTCCGAGCCTGAGTCAGCGCCAAACCTGGCAATCTTGACCGGTTAATCCCGTAGAGAGTTTCTTCTGCTGTAAGGGCAACCCTGGAGACTCCGACGAAAGCCTAGCAGGGGAGGATCCAAAGCGTGAATAAAAGCTACGGGAAATACACGGAGGGACCGACCTAGCAGGGGAGGATCCAAAGAGAAGAAACTCTAAGGGTCCGCCTGCTAGGGCGCCAACTATATACTGGTCGTCCGTAACTGCCGACGTAGAGCGCAGAAGGCCTGAGCGGCGTCGCAGGCTCTGTCCCAAGGTGATCGTTGGGAGGGTCTTGACGGATCGGTGATTGTGCGGGCGAAGGAGGCCGTGGACGATGGTCGGGGTGGGTCGGAGCGTCCGAGGGGGCGCCGGTCGGATGCGCCTCGGATGCGTTCGGAGGGTCCGAAGGAGGCCGAAGCGGGGGTTCCCCTGACAGCTTCTTTTAAATCACAAACAGAGGGGGCCATCTCCAGCAGCTTACAGGCTTGACTTGCATGCTGACATTAGACATCAATCACTGTCAGAAGGTTCAAATCGGGTCGTTTCGGGCCTGATGAGTCGGTGATTTCTCCTTGCACGGAGAGAAGTAGTTCTTCAGACAATCTAAGCAATAGAGTAGTTGGTATGCTATCGCGTGTTTATATATGTGGGCCCGCGAAGGGGTGATTGGACACCCTGGCCTCTCCTGCTCCTCCTCTTCCCCCATTCCTGGCCGCAGAGGAGGACGATCGTACATCCCTTGCAGGTCAGGTGCTAATCCTGACCTCCTAGCACTCCTCCCCAGTCCCCTGGTGTCGAAGTTGGGCTCGGCAACGGCTCAACGCGTTGTTCTTGGTCACATGCTTCCCGAATATGTGTTCCTCCTACTAAAGCGCCTGTTCCCTGTCGTCATGTGCTGCGTGTTGCAGGCCCGCAATGGTCCAACACCAGTGCCGGAGAGGATAGACCGGGTCTTATCTGTGACATAATATATGTTGAAGATCCATTACTTACTCTCAACCTGACAACTTCCATTAGATGTTATTCAAAGCCAATATTTTTCAGTGTTCATTTCATACTACAAAACATGCACAGGGGTCTGAGCATATCAAGATGAAAAATAATTTTTTTGGCAGATGCGAATTGCAAGATGGTCAGAACATTGTTTTCTATATGGATGCACTGGCACACACCCCAATTCAGAAATGGATCCACGCTAGCCCCAAGCTTGATTTCACAGTATGTACATAGAGGAGTTTGGTGTCCGTAGGGTAGACAATAGGGCGGCAGGCTCCGGCTCATACACTGGCAGGTTTGTTCACATGCACCTGTGTAGTGGCATCACCGTCCTTCTCAAAAGTTCTTATCCAAAGTCATGGTGTCAAATGCTAGGTTCAAGAAACCTTGCATCCTCTAAATTGGTGTAAATATAAGGGCAATCCTGGAGACTGAGACTCTGACGAAAGCCTAGCAGGGGAGGATCCAAAGAGAAGAAACTCTAAGGGTCTGCCTGCTAGGGCACCAACTATATACTGGTAGTTTGTAACTGTCGACGTAGAGCGCAGAAGGCCTGAGCAGCATCGCAGGCTCTGTCCCAAGGTGATCATTGGGAGGGTCTTGACGGATCAGTGATTGTGCAGGTGAAGGAGACTAAGGACGAGGGTTGGGGTGGGTCAGAGAGTCCGAGGAAGGAGGCCAAAGTGGGGGTTCCCCTGACACTAAATAAGTATGGAGAGGGCTGAGAACTTTGGACTTGTGTATACACTATATTTTCAGTGTTTCTACACCCATACCAAGTAAATCCAGCTTCAAATCTTTTATATACCATTTTTTTTTTTCATTACCTCCCCTCTGAGTAGAAAGATTGAACCATGGATTTAGGACCTGGATGTTTTTTTTGTATATGTATGTGTGTAGGTATCTATGTACCTGGAACCCTCAAACACACATGGCAGGCCATATCACTGTTCAATATGTTCACCTCCTGTTAATTACCTGATGATGGGCCTGTGACAGGGTGTGCTATCCAGGCTCAAGGGCCTGAAAGTCTATATATATAAGTATGGGGGTTGTGAACTATACAAATTAGAGTGCATACAGTATATTTTCAGTATTTTTACATATATTCATATACAAAAGGAAAAAAAATTACCCTCTGGGCGGCAGGCTGGGCCCCTACCCTTATGGTCAGGTCCTAGTCGCATGCAGCACATTGAATTGCCACACCCTGGCACAGACTTCATCTCTGCATGGGAGGGGAGCCCGTCGCCAGAAACGGCCCCTTGGCCCCGTTCGTGTGCAACATGCCAGTGTGAGCGAGGGGACGCATGTTCGATACATGCACGAGGCGTTGAAGGCTCGGTTGATAGCTTTTGGCATGTGACAGGCAATCAAAGGTGTGTGTTTGAAGCATGAATTAGGCTCTGAATGTTTGATCGATTAATCATTTTGGCAAGCAGTGCCAGTTGCGACTGCATACATGCCGAGCGCCACACCGTGATACTGCTCGGAGCAAGAATCACACTTGGTGCTTCCAGAGCGCAGTATATAGTTTAGCTAGGCAGACCCTTGGAGTTTCTTCTCTTTGGATCTTCTCCTGCTATGACCTTAATCTCAGTGTTAGGCTTCTTGGGGAACTCGGACTAGAATCATTGCCAAGGGGCTGAAAGGGAGGTTCCCCTGACAACCTCTGCAATTCTGATATTCCTCTCCTACTCAATTGAGGATAAACCCTGCTTAATTCACTGCCTCTCATTTGATCCTATGATTAAAACCTTCTCGATAGCCATACATACAGTCTGATACAGGTCATATTTGTTAGACTAATGATTAATCAGGAGAGTGTTTTTTTTTGGCTTACAGCAAGAAAAAAAATATGGAAATGGCTTAAATGGTACAACTGTACTGCAACACTGATGAGTGCCAGATGCGCATACCGTGGGAAACACCCACCAATGACCCACAGAGTGACTTTAAAAAACCTCATTGCGGAAAGGTCAAGCTGTTTGGTGCAGTGGCAGGAGATAAGTCTGTTCTCCTCAATCTAGATATCTACCAGTACAAAGCCAGCCAAGTACGACCGTGATTAATTTCGTATGTTGGCATGCAAGTCAAGCCCTTGAGCCGCGAGAGGCGGCCCCTCTGGTTATGTGTGAGAAAAAGGTATCATGTGAGGGATGCATGTTCGAAGCATGCAAAAGGAGCTTTTCAAAGCATTAGAATAATTTTTGACGGATGCCAGCGACAAGGCATCCACAATCGAACTGCCACTGCACAGTGCATGCCAGCATCCACGGTCCAAACCCTAACTCTAACAATTCGTTACCTTCTCCCCCCTATATGGCTAAGAAGAATGTTATTGCCTAATTTGGGCTCCGCAGATAGTAGATATATATATACTATGGTGACCAGCATGGGAGTGTAGCCCGTCCGAGGTGGGTCCTCATTAGGGCTGCAAGGTTAAGACACTGACTACTGGCGCAGGGGCCGCATGTTCGAAGCATGGCCGCGGCTTTCACCATGTTCAAGGCATTTTTTGTCTACCAGGATTCAGCAATCAGGATGATATGATATGATGCAATATGATATGATACGATACAGACACTCGATCTGCATATTGTATTTGTATGTGCTGTGGTGAATCGGAGCCCGCCGGCCGCGGGAGGCGGCCCCCTCCGCTCGTGGTCCAGATAGTAGCGTTGTGGGAGGGACGTGTCTTCGACGCATGCGCGGGGCGGTGAAGGCTTGGACGGTCTTGTTTTTGGCAATCAAAGGGCTGTTCAGTGTTTTCCGTGCACGTTTTGCATGCGTGCCGACTCTCAGGTCAATGATCAACAACTAGTAGAGGTTTGGTATTCAATGATTCAAGACAGACAACATCGGATAATAAAATTCATGCCGCTCACGGCTCGTACACCGGGAGACTCGCACTCGTGCTCGCGCGCGCCCGGGTACCACTATCAAACAGCTGCGCGGCGTCCTTCTCGCGGTACGCCGGCGCGCCGTCCGCGCCCCCAGCAGCAGCAGCAGCCTCGTCGCGCGCGCGGTCCAGCGCCGCGAGCGCGGCCTTCTCCGACAGCGCGGGCGCGTACAGCGTCGTCCGCCCCGGACCTGTCCCGGCCCCGGTGGGGGTGCCGGCGGAGAACGGGTGCACGCCGACGAGCGACGGCATCTGCATCTGCATCTGCATCTGCGCGGGGGCGGGGGCCGGCCCGACGGTCCAGCCGTACCCGAGCGCGGGGTCCACCAGCGGCACCGCGAAGGACGCGGCCGTCGACGGCGTCGGCGCGTCCGACGCAGCGGGGGACCACGGCGTCGCGGGCGTCGGCGGGACCGGCGCAGGCGTCAGCGGGAGCGGCGTCGTCGGCGCGGGCGTGCGCGGCGGGAGGCCTTTACCCGGCGTGGGCGGGACCAGCAGCGTATTGGCATTGGCAGACCCCGGGGGTGCCGGGAAGCCGTACGCGATCTCGCGCATCTCCGGCGCCGGCTGTGGGACGAGCCGGGGCGCGGCGCCGAGCGGGGACCGCGGGGCAACCACACGCTCGCGCGGCTGGCTGCGCCGGGCCGGGGGCGGCGCGGCGAGCCGGACGACCGGGCCCGCCTGCGCGACGGGGGGCCGGGACACGAGCGCTGCGCTCGACGCGGACGGCGGTGCGTACCGCGGCTGCTGCTGCTCCGCGGAGTACCCCCGCTGGCGGTTATAGTCGAACTCATACGTCGCGCCACCATGCGCGGGCGGTGCAAACACGCGCGCGCGCCGGCGCGTCTTGCGGAGACACAGCCCCAGGGCGGTGAGCAGCCCCGCGAGGACGAGCACGCCGAGGACGCCGCCGACGAGCGCGGCCTGCCGCGTGCTCGCCGCGAGCGTGTGTGTCTGCGGGGGGACGACGGCGGCGGTCTCGCCCGGCGCGGGGACCGGGTCGGGCCCGACGGCGCCGACGGGCACGTCGTGGTACGCGTTGACGGGGCCGGACGGGAAGGGGCGGGGGACGCTCGCGAAGGAGGTCTGGAGCTCGGAGGGCGCCGGGGCGGACTCGGAGCTCGTGCTGGGTCCGGGGACAGCAAATGGTGTGGCATCGTTCGCCGCGGAGTCGGGGGTGGTGGACTCGGGCGCATCGTCGGACGGCGTCAGACTCGGCGCCGTTGCAGCTGCAGCGCCTAGATTGACGCCGCTAGTACCAGCACCAGTATTCGTATCAGCCTGCTGGGACGTCGTGAATCTGCAACCTCATCAGTCCGCCATCTACTCAATCCAAACACCAACGCACATGAGCCCACCGAGCGCGACCACGCTGCTCCGCGCGGGCATCGCGAACACCACCGTGTGCGGCCCGTCCTGCAAATCCGTCGCGGAGAACACGATCTGCGCGGCGGCCGCCGGGGCGGGGCCCGGAAGGGCGAGCTGGCGCGGAACGCGGGCGAGACTCTGCGAGGGAACGGGCGGGCCGACCGGGCCGCTGGAGGAGGAGGAGGAGGCGACGATGACACTGGGAGCGACGGCGGCAGAGGACAGCACGGAAGCGGACGCCGGCGCTATCTGAACAGTGGACGTCGGCAGGACCTTCGGCTCGCGCGACACGCCCGCCGGAGCGGCCAGGCCGACCACCGCCAGCGGGCCCCCATCGACCGTCACCTGCAGCCCGGCGTTGCTGCCTGTTTGGAAGAGCGGGGCCAGGACGTACAGCGCCGTGCCTATCCGTCGTCAGCACACGATATACGTAGGCCACGGCACACGCACCGGTGAACGCAAACTGCGCCGTCGCGCCGCGCACCACGCTCGTGCGCGCGCCCTGAGCGGCGGTCCAGCCGGCGGAGTAGGTTATCGAGGGGGCGGCGGCGGAGAGGGTGACGTTGTGGCTGGCGGGTGGAGGGGCGGGCGCGGGGGCCGCGTTGGCGAGGGGAAGGGGGGAGAGAACTTGGAGGGCAAAGAGGAGGAAGGGGACGAGCATGTCGAATGATTATGAAGAAGAAGCAAGCAGAGTAAAACGAGGGGGCGGTCGAGCCGGGGGGACGAAGAGCGAAGCGCACAAGGCGGAAAGAAAAGCGGACGCGAAAGGGAAGGGAGGTCGTGAAGGCAGGACGAAGGCAGAAGGAAAGAGAGACGGGCGAGCGCTGGCGAGGCCTGCAGTGACGTAGACGTCGACGTGGCCCTGCGACAGGCCCGCGCACGCCAGCCGGGCTTCTGCATCTGTCGTCTGTCTGTGCGCTGTAACAGGGCCGTGAGTGACAGCTGCACATGCACACGGCGCGGACGTGCCGCAGCGGCAGCCGCAAGTCGCGACTCCACCGCGTCCGCGCTCAGAGTCACCGCCATCGATCGCGACGTGGCGGGCAGAAGCAAAAGCGCGTGATAACGATCCGCCGCTGATCGGTTGATCGCACCTAGTGCTGTCCAATTATGGATATAATTATGAGATTTTCATAACATACTCATATCCATATCATAACCATAGTCTTTGTCCATAATCATATCATACTCATAATCATTGAGTATATATTTGATTATACTCAGAATATAATTGATTATCTTAGGCCCACTTGTAACACTATAAATGCATGTCAATTAGCTGACATTAGACTTTTTATTATTTATGATATTTTACAATGGCTGGTATTCATAAAAGGTTCATATAAGATGATGTGTCATTGAACTATATTAATCACATGATCTGATTAAATCCTGCCAACTTGACCAAACTTGCTTTTTACTGCTTCTAACTGACTATAGAATATCAACAGTTTTTATTCTCACATCTTGAATTTCTGTAATAGGTGAAAAATACTGAAAATGGATGATTTGTGAGGAGTTGATGGGCCTGATACCATAAAAAATATGATACAAATATGACCTTGGCATAATGTAATTATAATCATATTTAATCATAAATCTCAGGTGCGATTCGCACCTGAGATTTTAGTTTGAAATCATTTGTAAATGATGATAAACGTTTAAATAATGATTTGGTTCAGCTGACTGGCAAACAATAAACAAATCAAAATAAATGATTCAAATATTCATCCGATGAGATACTCCCTAAGTCTCCCTGTGAGTGTCTTTGCTGGGGTTGGGGCTCTATGACAGGATAAAACCCTAAGACCTATAGTTTCCCTCAGCAGTACTTGCTCATTAGACCAGGACCGACCAGATTAGGCCCGCACACCTGATTGGGAAATACTGCACATGCCCATAGAATACTGCACATCATCTAAAATACTGCACTGCTCATCTTAAAATACTGCACTCCCTCAGAAAATTCTTCGGCACCCAATTCAGAAGTCGCTTGCAGGTTTGGCACGCAGAATTTTATTCAATATGCTTATAGAAATAATTATCTACGAGTGAGTGCCCGTGCATGCCACAAGCCCCCCGACACCTTCATCCACCGACACCTTCATATCACCAAGCAGGGGCAGTCGTCCTGTCCACGAGCAGGACTGGGCCAGTTTGCGGCAGGAATAACTTGTTTTTGATGTGAGGCAGCGCACAAAGGAATAAAAACGGTCAGCAAACGAATATGAGCTAATGGATTTGACGTACCCAGACGGACAGACACAGCCTGGTTTCCCGTTGCTTGTGCGCAGTGCCAGCTGCGACAACGGAGCTTCAGAGCCTGGCTTTTGCGCTACTTGCCCTCCCGCGCGTGTAGCTCTGCGGCGAATGCTATAGCACATCTGCTCCCGTCCCTTCTCACCACAGTCACCGGCAGCCGTGCAGTTGCCACGTTGTAAATCTCACAAAGCGACTGTCTGCGATCTCTTGCACCGTCTATGAGTGTGGCTCTCGTCATGGCTGAAGCAATTGAGATCTAAAAAGCAATGGTAAGCGAACGAGCACGCTGGCCGCCCGCACGGCCCGCACTAGTTGATGCACTTGTCCTGCCGAGCGCACCTGCTCCCTCTCCTGAGTCTCCACGGATGTTATTGCCAGTGTTCAAAGCCTCCAGTGAACATTCCATGAGTATTGAATCGGTCTGAGAAGGCATTGGGGGGCTCACCTGGTCGTCATTCGGTCATTCCCCGCAAAAATACCTCCCTTTCAAGTCTGGGATGCTGAGGACTGCAAAGTGACGCTTGAGGTTGTCGAATTGCTCGAAAGGGAGGGCAGGGTAAGAATGAGCGTGAAAAGCGACGGTAGTGGTGGTTCATGGAAGAAGAGTGTTGTCACACTTCTTGCCGAGACGTCACATCAACAATGCGCGTACGTCCACGTGATGCCAGAATTGCCAAATGCGGGAGTGCCGTGTTTGGGATTTGGAGTGCCGAAGTTTGCGCAAGGTGCAGCATTTCAGCTGTATGTGCAGTATTTCCCGATCGGGCGTGCGGGGCCTAATCTGGTATAGACTCTCATTAGACCCTGTATAATGCCTGTGTTGACTAAGAATACTCTAGCAGGTGGAAATTAGTAAACCCTGTGTGGGATCAAAGCAGTCAACAACTCATCATAGATGGTATGACACCTGAGTTGTTTTTTTTAACATGTATATTACAGTTTTTTATTTTCAGAATATTTTGAATTACTAGATGATGCTATTGTTGCCTAATCTTAGTGATGTAGCTATCTTATAATAATCTAATATCTTGGGTATTAACATTGTCTGGTAATATGATTTGGTCTTGCAGGAAAATTACTCAATTTAATGTGCTTAATATCTGCTCAGAAAATTATTCTTCCATAGAATCATTTGTAAATCATTTAAATGATTTTTAAACGTTTATTAATAGTTTTCATTTGATTTGGAATTGCCACAAACGAAAACTAAATGATTGGAGTCTTACGCACCTCCTGTCAGTGTGGGCCCTAGCAATGTTTGTGAGCGGGCGGGCGGCAAGCTTTCGTGAGGTGTCAAACAGCACCTTAGCCGATCAATCCATCACGGCGTTAGGATCTTCCGCTCACGAAGACAGTATGGTGCCTACTGTCGCCGTTGACGCGGACCGTCAAGCGGCCAACTGTCGCCATCAGCAAGGTCAACCCGGAAGGCAGCACAAGTTGTATGCATACTATCTCGGCTGTCCTCCTCTACCTCTCTTGTTGTTGCTTGTCCCGCCACCAGTGCAACGTCAGTGTTCCTTTTAGAAACAAGACTGATGTCTTCGTTTTCAGCAATGCTCATGCGCTCATCGTCTGTCTTGGCCAACTACATATGGGGGTAATCTAGTAGTATTGTCGTCATTTGTCCGTCATTGCACACCCATCCTGATGCTGTGACAGTCTTCTCTCAGGCTTGCACGACATTGTTGCCAAGATTATCCTTCATGCTTCTGTTAGCCTTCTCTGCGCTGACAAACTGCTTTAGGTCCTTCACTGGCAAGTCCTTGTGGCTGTTGATCTAGCAAATAAGCGCGGTGATGAAGTGTGCTGCCATTGTCGACACCATTTTCCTCATGCAGACAGCGTCCTGTCAGTAGGCGTGGCGACCTCTGCATGCTCCACCCCAGTCAAGGACTCCGGAACCGGCGCCGCGCAGCACCTCCAAGTCCACCCGCACTGCCGCGGGCTTATTAATGTTGCAGCATTGCTGCTCATCGCACATCTCCAGCATGTCTGTTCATGCGCCCACACTCGCCGTTGCAGTTGGCGTTGCGGTGGGCATTGGTTAGGCCGTTCTCCAGGGATATTGCATGTGTTTCTGGGACAGAAGTTCTGGCCAGAGTCACAGTATGTTTCCAGGATGACTTGTCACAACCAGAGCTTGATTAAATGATAGGTCAACTGAATGAGTGATCAAGTGATGGCTCCGTAGAACAAGGTAAATGGAGGATTCGTAAGATGGTAGGAGTTTGTTACTAGTGTGACAGACTCCCAAACAGGTAGGTGTGTTTGGTGTAATCAATAAGAATAAAAGGACTAGGGTACAGGAGATCTAGCAGGCTACTTATATACCGTCTGCACCTATGACGTCACATACTAGTGCAACAGGTGTCAGACTAAACTAGACTGTAAGTGGCTGTTTCACCATGGCACTTGTGACACACGTAAGGCTATGCAATAAGACATAGACATTTGACAGGAACAGTGACAAGCGGGGATGTCATTAGGGCGTATATATGCCCACCAAGAAGAGACTGAGGTAAAATCTGAACTATCTAGCTTTATGTACTTCTTGATGATGCTGGCCCCTAGGTTGCAGATCTATATATAATTAACCAGGTTGCTTATGGATGTGTCGTATTAAGCTTATCTAACCGTTTTAGATATCTTTAGATATTTCTATCTTGGCAGCAAAGAAAGAATTTAGCATACCACTTCGTTATCCTCACCTACCAGAATTGTAAGTAGATCAATATAGTAGCTATAACAGGTTGTCCCATTACGGTCCCACTCTCGCAGCTACACATCTTTGAAGTTTTTAATAGGTTTTTAAAATAGAAAGAAACATACTTAGAATAGCCTTATTATCTATAATATCAAGATGCTTTTCTAGCTTCTAAAGCTACTTAAGCAAGTAGGTGTTGCACTCTGCGAATAAAAGCTTTTTAATAGTATTTAGCACCTAGGCGTCAAGCAGAAACTCAAGTAGAAACAGCAGGAGGCTGAAGTATGTGTAGTAAAAGAGGAAGCTAAGAGGCTTGTGCATAAGAAATAACTTGCTAAATAGGCAGATAGAAAATAGCTATTAAGCTAGATATAGGTATAGAGGGCATAAATAACAGTATTAAATATAAGTTGACTGGGATAGAATAGATTAATTACTCTAATAATAGAGATGCTAGTATCAGCCTAGATCAGGCTTAAGAGAATAGGAAGCCTCCTATGAGGAAACAATAGTAGTTAGGGCAGAAGGCAAGGTAGATGAGGTTGTTGTTCTCTTATTTATTTATTATAAAAGCATAAGCAAGCATATATTATTTTAGAGCTTCTATAATATTATTCCCGCCTTATGCACTGTGTGCTTGATGCTCTTAGCCAGCTTCTTTATACCTTACAGATTGCCACATCAAAAAGTTT